GTTTTCAGTGTTGCTGTAACAGAAATACCACAAACGGGTGGTATTTCCACAAACAGAAACTTATTTTCTCACAGTTTAGGAGGCTAGAAGTCTGAATTCAGGGTGCTGGCTCTCTGTCGGCTCTGGGGGAAGGTCCTTATCTCTTTTCAGCTTCTATTCCTGGGTCCTTTGGTGATTTTCATGTGGCCTGGCATCTGGCACCTATCCTCCTTTATCCGCTTCCTTCCTTCTATGCCTAATCAGCTCGTATCATATCTCCAAAGGAGGCTGGTATAGGTGAGGTGGGGGCAGGCAGAGACCGAAAGGAGAAAAAAGGAGATGAAGAACCCTAGTCTCAGGGGAAGCTAACCACAGAAAGAAAATCTGGGTTTGCTGACACTGAAAGCACAGACAAATGGCAGCAGAACCAGCAACAGATCCGAGTCTATCTGATTGGAAGCCAAGCAAAGAAGTTCTGACAATAGGGAGCTGGATGTGGCATAAACACCAACAGCAAGTTGCTTTGATGCTAATCTGAGCAGTTGAGGCAGGGGTTCTTTTTCTTTGGATTCTAGCCTAGAACATGAAAGAGACCAGTGTACAATTTCCTTGCCAAGAATTTTTTTCACCTTAAGTTTGCAGGGTCATGTTCATTTGCGGCAATCTACTCAGGGTTTGGCATAACTTGTCCTTCGCGTTCACTTTCTTAATCATTTCAACAGAGCTGGTAATCCCTAAGGAGTATCTGTGGAACAATGACACCTACTGTTTGAGCTATTGTAGTTGCAATAAACTTACCACATGGGATGGCAATAGGGGTAAATTTATAGCTACTGTTTCTTTCCTTTGAAAAAAGGGATAAAGGGCTCTGTAGAGAGCTTAGGTTGGAGAAGCACTGAAATTAGAGAAGACAGAATTCTTATCACAGAAGATGTTTAATTTACAATGAAAATATGTAAGTGTTTCTCTATTTATAACAACCATACCTAATTACAAAAAGGACTGAAGGCAAATGAAATGTACAGTAGACCAACATGTAGTTCAGCCAAGACAACTGAAAGAGAATCTCGAGTTACAGAAACATATTTTACAAGGTGAAAAGTGGAGCAAGATGATGATTGAAATGGCCTATCAGGTTTCCTGTTCCTGCTTCCCACCCTCTTTCTCTACCAACAGGTGAGCCCCACACCTTCCTAGTGTAAGCTGGCTTCCCCGAAGGTTCTTGTCTGTCCGCTACCTCAGCCGCAGGCTCTGCCTTGTTGTTGTAAACAACCTATCTTGCCTTATGCCTACATTACAATACTGGATCCCTGTCTGATCTCCCTGTATCGGAGTTCCTTTAGGGCTCATCCATCTCGTTGAAGGTCTCCCCCTCTTTTGTCGACCCTCCACCCTACCAAGCATGACATCCTTCTCCAGGGAATGGTCCCTTCTTATAACATGACCAAAATAGGTGAGACGAAGTCTGGCCATTCTTGCTTCCAAGGAGCATTCTGGCTGCACTTCCTCCAGGACAGATCTGTTAGTTCTTTTAGCAGTCCATGGTACTTTCAGCATTCTTCGCCAGCACCACAACTCAAAAGCATCAACTCTTCTTCGGTCTTCCCTATTCATTGTCCAGCTCTCACATGCATACCAGGTGATTGGAAATATCATGGCTTGTGTCAGGCGCACCTTAGTCCTCAAGGAGATATCCTTGCTCCTCAGCACTTGAAACAGTTCCTTCGCAGTTGACTTTCCCAATGCTACACGTCGTCTAATGTCCTGACTGCTGCTTCCGTTGGCATCGATTGTAGAACCAAGCAACGTGAATTCCTTGACAACCTCAATCTTCTCTCCATTGATTGTGATGCTGCTCATTGGCCCAGTTGTGAGGATTTTTGTTTTCTTTCTATTGAGACGTAATCCATACTGCAGACTGTATTCTTCAACCTTCATCAGTAGGTGCCTTAAGTCATCCTCACTTTCAAAGCTAGCAACCTGGCTGCTGGTAATCTACTTCTGGTGTGTCTCATCTTTTGACTGTGCCTTTCCTCCCCCTGGAGAGAAATGTGACCTGTCTCCACTGTCGTAAACACAATATACAGCATTCAGTACTCAAAATCATTTGACAATTACTTATCGCTTTTTTTTTTTTTTTAACTTTTCAAAGGCACAGTTAAGATTATTTTGGATTTAAAAGAGTCAATTTTCTCTCATGTTAAAAAAATCATCATAAAATTCCTGAATCTTGTAATATTTCCCTTTTATAAGCCCTGCACCAAAGGAATTCTAAGTAATAAAGTGGGAGGGAAAGGGATGGAAGACAAAAAAGTTATAGATTGTTATTTAAATATATTTAAACGTTGAAGCATTTATTTGTTCTTACTGGAGGCTGTGCAAAAAAAAAAAGTACACTGACTAATAAATTATTTATTATTGGACTTGTCATGCTTCTAGTTGAAATATCTAGAAGAAGTGAATCGTAACTAACCATGTTTTCTTTTTTCTACTTAAATACTATATGATAGACTTACACACACAAAAGGTCTATATGAAACCAGCCATGTGAATAACTGGGGAAAAAAAAAAGTTCATGTTTTACCAATAGATTCTCTCTGCTTCAAGTAAGAAAAGCCAGCTGCCACCAAGTCTACTCTGACTCATGACGGCCCCACGTATGTCAGTGTAGGGCTATGCTTCACAGGGTTTTCAATGGCTTTTCTCTCCACCCCAATCCCCAGAAGTAGATCACCAGTCCTTTCTTCTGAGCTGTCTCTGTATGGACTTGAATGTCCAATCTTTGGGTTAGCATCTGAGTGCCTGAACCAATTGCACTACCAAGGGACAAAAATTCAATGGCCTTGTGGTAACCTAATTCTTACATAATTTGTAAGACTATCATATAATTCATTTTCATTTCAAGCTGATTATTACTTTTACATTTATGAAGTAGCTCTGCTTAACTTAAATTTCCCATTATATGGAAAGAATGCCAGTTGGCAACTTTTCCTTGTTCTGTGACTTTGAATTCTACTATAAATGTTGGCTAGTGTGTACATTCTTTTCCTACTTTTATCATAGTTTAGTTTTCATGATCTTTAACATTAAAAAGGTCAAATACATTGTAGCAAGAGTTCAGTAAATATATTATCAATTTTAGTTTATTTTACTTTCTTTCTGTGAGCACATAATTCATTTTTAAAGACTGCATTAATTAGTCAATCATAGACTAATTACAAACATTTCCACACTATAAAACACAATTATATGTGTTTGAGGGCTTAAGACCTATAAATCCATTTTCCTTATGTTTTTTCAAATAGTTGTCAAGATAAGATAAAATTCATTATGATCTAAAACAGATTTGATATGACCCAGAAGAATAAAAATTTGACAGAGGAATAGCTCTTATAGTTAGAACGATCCAGTGTTATAGTCCCTGGTACTGTGTAAACCTTAATTTCCACTAGTATATAATAATCATTTGTTTGATACTACTGTGGTATTTATATAATGGACACCAGGGTCACTATGTACTCAAAAACAACATCCTCATGTGTTCACTGTAATTGCATAGTTGAGATAGCCTATGAACCAGAATATGCTGATTTGGTGGGCAGAAAACCAGGATGAATAAAATGACCCACCATGTTGTCTCAAACTGAAACCTCAAATGTTCCCTCTTTCGCCACAAAATGATTATGCAATACGCTCAAGTCAGTAAAGCAGAACCTACTGAAAAACTTACTTGTTTAAGCCTGAAGTCCTGTGATACATTTCTGAACTACCAGTGGTTGAAATAAAGTCTAAATTCTAACTCTGGGACTATAACAACAAATCAGATTAAAAAATAATTAAACAAATTATGTATTATACTTTATATCCTGACATTTCCTTTAAAAAGTAGTAGATTTCAAGGCTGAGGAATGATAAAACAAAACAAAACAAACTTTAGTATTGTTTACTTTAATCTACATGGTTATATCATTTTGAAATATATTTTCTAAACTTTTAAACTGGGTAGGTAGTAAGGAAAGACATATAATAAAAAAAACTTGGTTCTAGGTTATACTGAAATCAGATAGTTCATTGAAAAATCACAATCCGTACAGTCAATTTTTAGTACTAGAGAGGCAAGATAGAGAGGAAGGATCTCACCTAATATCTACTTTGAACTCTATAAGCTTACTTGTTTTAATACCTGCTATTCTGGCTTTGTAAGCTTTAGAGAGAGAATAAGACTAAACTCCATAAACTTGTTGAATATTTAAGTTTCAAACTCTATTACTGTATAAAAATGATCTAAGGTAGCTCAAGCCTTTTTCAGTGAGTGAATACCGCTGCTATATGTATAAAATAGAGATTTTTAAGTTATAGCCTAAGCATTGGACAATTGTTAATATTAAAATGGCTACTGTGACATTTGTGAATAATGAACAAAACCACCATGAAAAACAAAAACAAAAAAATAAGGCACTTGACTGCTAACCAGAAGGCTGGCAATTCAAACCCACCAGCCACTCCTCGGAAGGAAGGCTGGGCAATCTACTTCCGTAGTGATACCACCTTGGGTTCGACCTCACAGCACATAACAACAACAATAGAACAACAGTCTTTTCAACTATGCTAACACTCTCTCTCTCTCTCTTTTTTAAGTCTTCTTAAACTAAAGAGGGGGAAATACAACATGAACAATATGTTGAGAGACTCCAGCAAGTTTAGCACGGCCAAAGTGTAGAATATTGTGTAGAAAACGATTCAAACAAATAAACAAACTTAAAGAGTTCTTAACCCTCCTTCACTGCCCTGTAATAGACCAACAAAAATCAAATAAATACCTCAAATAGAAAGATGACAAGGAGCTCTGGTAGCATAGTGCCTAAGGCACTTGACTGCTAACCAGAAGGCTGGCGGTTCAAACCCACCAGCCACTCCTCGGAAGGAAGATGGGGCAATCTACTTCCATAGTGATACTGCCTCGGAAACCCAAGGAGGGGTTGCCATGAGTTGGGTCTAACTCGACGGCACATAACAACAACAACAGAAAGATGACATAGGTCTTTCATGATCCTGTGAACTAAAGGGAAAATAGATTTTGAATTAATGTGCATTTCTGTTAGTACTATAACATGTTAATTTTACTAGGACTTTGCTCTACCTGTCACAAATTTTGTTTTGATACATTAGAGCTAATATCACCATGGAGTAAGGTGAGTAAAACACACTCTATCTCAGAAGTGCTCACCTAGCTAAAGCCAATTACTTCTTCAAGGGAGATCATCAGAAGAGGTTTCTTTCAAGATTAGGCCTAAGGCAAATATAGCTCACGTCACACTTTCAGGAAGAAACTTTTTACTACCTTATCTACAAGTCCAATCCAAGTAGTCATAAATTACATATTAACCCTTGAAATATTACATACTCAATTATCTCAACAAAGCTAATTGCAGTCATTAGCATGATGATGAAAATAACTAACAGCTAACAAAATATTCCTGTTAAATATGAACTACTTCAGGAATAATTTCCTAGCACGTCAGTAAAAACAACACTGTTTGTTCCTCTGCAGTTCTTCTAAACCTCAAAACCAAACCCACTGCTGTCCAGTCAATTCTTCCTCATAGGGACCCTCTCTATAGGACAGAGTAGAATTGACACTACTAAGTATTAACTTAGGAGCTCTGGTAGCATAGTGGCTAAGACACTTGCCTGCTAACCAGACGGTTGGCGGTTCAAACCCACCAGCCACTCCTTGGAAGGAAGGTTGGGCAATCCTACTTCTGTAGTGATACTGCCTCGGAAACCCAAGGAGGGGTCGCTATGAGTCCGGTTTGACTCGACGGCACATAACAACAACAACAACAAGTATTAACTAGTATGGGTAGCATGAAAAGGTTTTTATAACACAATTATAAAACTAATTTAAGTTCCTCAAACAACAAAGAAGCAATATGAAACACAATATAAAGGTATCGAATTTCTAAAAATGTAAAATATATACTAAAATAAATGTTTTCCTTTTCTTTAGACTATTTATTCTTCTGATAAATGACTTCTAAGTGTAGCATGAATATTTCTCACTTAGTGTCTACAGAAGTCATCTTTGAACTTTTTTGATTATACATTCTTGTAAAATTTGTTTATAAGCAGCCACTCTCCTCAAATATATGACTTATTAAGCATTATTCATATCAATTATGTGTATGATTAAACAGATAAAATAGAAATATACAAGTATTAGATGAAGTTAAATAGAAACTCTTATATTTTCTTCTTGTACCTCTATGATTTATCTTGTATGCTACCTGAACCATGCTTCTTCTACCATTTGAGGAAGCAACATTTAACTTCAGTTTACTCTTCCTTTTTTTTTTTCTTTTGCTTGTTTTATATTCTTAAGCATTAATGAAAAGAGAAAAGTTTCCTTTAGTTGATAATATCACAATGGCACTCAATAAAATCTCATTCACAAATTATTGCATTACATCAAAACAAAATAAACATAAAAAAGCAAAGAGAAACCTGTCCTAGAAGTTAGAAAGGTCTTATATTCTAGTTAACTGGATAAATTTTGTATCTAGAGGGAAGATAACCCCAAACACCAAACCTACTGCTGTCAAGCTGATTCTGACTCACAGCAACCCTACAGAACATGAGATACAACATGCTGTTTTTCATTCTCTTATGATTTTGGTTTCTACTTTCAATATTACTTAGATATTCTAATGACCACGTTGCCACAGATTTTAAAGCTTTATAATTCAGTGTACTAATTCTAACCACGTGAGGGGTGAGTAATGGATTTCCTTTATTATGGCCTCTAATGTGGATGGGTTGAGGACAAAGCTTTCCAAGGTTGGAGAGTTAGAAGAGACAATACCTGGGACATGTCCAGGTGTTGTGGGAAGACACCACCTGGAGCAGTGTTTTTACAGGTGGTGATATAAGCCAACTAAGTAGTTTACACATTTGGTTTCAAAATATTCCTAGGGAACACGTAACAAAACAGATTACAAAAATGTTAGAATTGGGTTTGTTTCCTAAGTAAGGATTTAGTGTCAAAAAAGTACACTGGGCCAAAAAAGATGCAACTAATAATCTAAGAAAAGGAAAACTGAAGAAAAATAGACTCATTCAATTGTGGCATTGGCAAAGCGTACTGAATATGCTATGGATTGCCAGATGAATGAACAAATCTGTCTTGGAGGAAATACTGAACGCCCCATAGCAGTGAGGATGACAAGACTTCCCCTACCTTATTTGGGACCTGTCATCAGATCAATCACTGGAGAAAGACATGCTTGGTAGAGGGTCAGTGAAAAAGGGGAATCCTCACTGAGATGGGCTGACACAGTGGCTACAAGAATTGGCTTACACATAGCCACAATTGTCAAGATGGTGCAGGACTGGCACTGTTCTGATAATACATAAGGTTGCTAAGAGTCAGAGCCGACTTGATGACATCTACCACCACCAACAACAATACTAAAACTGCCTCTATGTGTTTTAAAATGGGCAATGCATGAAATATTTTCTTTGCCCAAAACAGAGCCTCAACTTTACACAGAACCAATCTGAATAAAAATTAACATGCTTGATACAGCATATTTTAAGAACATTCAATTAGCAATACAGTCAGTTTTCTTAGAATTTAGAAGTGCTCTGCGGAGATAATTTAGATGGTACAGGGCTCTGAACATAGCTCTCGATGTATTTTGGCTAATGCCTTTTTCTTTTATCTCCTGTATTTCTTTCTTTAGAATAGAGGCAATCAAAATTTATCCTCCCTCCCTCCCTTCCTTTGTCTCATCATCTTACTTGTACTAAGTGAAAATGATTGAAGGCCAGGTAGCACCTGGTGCTCTCTTAATCATTTCATTTAGATCCTCACAAACCCCTCCAAGGTACTCGGCCCTCCCTCCTTTCTTTCAGATGAGAGGAAAGCAAGCTCGGAGCAGATACAAAATTTATCCAGTTTACACAGCTAGTAATGTTTAAATTATTATACTATATGAGTAGTACATTTTTCTTGCTTATTGTCTTCCATTCAATTTTAGCCTATCAAAATACAGTGGGATGATTAAGTCAGTGAAGATAAATTCATGAAATGGCCACACTGCACTCCAACAGTCTTCAGCAGGACCTTGTAGACTTTAACATATTCCATGTCATGCTTCTGATTATAGCAACTCTACACCTACCTCAGTCAAAGTCCAGTCATAATGCATTATAAGGTGGTTAACTTATTAACATATACTGGCAGTATATCAAGAATGTCTCTTGATAGAAACAACGTTTTAATCATGAACAAATATTTTTTTAGGCCACATTTGCACAAAGTAAATTTGTCAGTGAAGGACAAACCCAGAAATTCTTAATTTGTGTAAGTTCCTGTATACAGTATTCAGTATTCCAAAGGGAAATTTAAGCACTGCAATTTAAATAAACACAATGAAACAAACTCAGTATTACATGTAGTCAATAATCAACAACGGCCGGGCAGCAGTCCATGTACAGAACCCAAGATGATGACTAAAATTTGAAAATAAAATGAGGGTAAATGAATCAAATTTGGTAGTTAGTACCCCTTGCCTGGGATGTTACTAATGTAATTCTGATAAAGGAGTAATTTCTGAAACAACTAAAGTGCTAAAGTGTATAATTTTAAAGTCAATTTTAAGGAAAGATGGTCAAGGACAATTCTTCAAAACAGAATTAAGAAAAGAAACTTTTCTACAAAATCTATGCATTAGAAAGCAAAATATTTGAAAAGATCACCATATCTATGCAAAACAGATAACATACTACTTTCCGGCCCTCCCCCCAGTTGCCATCAAGTTGATTGCAATTCTTTGTGATCCTATGTGTGTGAGAGTAGAACGGTGCTCCATAGGGTTTTTAAAGGCTAATTTGCAGAAGTAGATTGCCAGGCCTTTCTTCCAAGGTACCTCAAAATGGACTGAAACTTCCAACCTTTCAGTTAACAGCCAAGTGCATTAATCATGTGTATGATGTAGGGACTCTGTACTACTTATTATAGGCCCCCCAACCAGCTATTTATGGAGGCTATTTATTTTTTGTTTTGTGTCAATCTCAAGCATGTCCAATGATATTAAATGAGTTGTAACTTTTTGCCTAAATCTAAACTGAAAATTAATGCTGACTTACTTTTAATTTTTTAAAATAAACACATGGACTACAAACAAAGAAGGAAGTGTGTGTCACAAAAAATGATCCAATGACAAACTTTAACAACCTGGAATTCATTCAATTTCTTCCATGGTTACTAGTATTAACCTCATGTTTTAATTATTTCCTATTTGTTTACTCTGAATAATGGCCAGGCTTAAGTAGCCAATTAGGGATTTTTTTAATTCAGTTATAGAGAGATTTGGGCAACCACCTCATTTATGTCAGCCAGTCAGCAGTCAGATATGTGGTATTATATTCTCATAAAACAACTGCCTCTGTGAAGCACAGTTACCAGACAGATCCAAAAAATAGTCCAAATCTAAGAAGTTACAATTGAGAAGGCCAATGTGTAGATGTGAGAGTTTTTCACTGGTCTAGCTTGTTTTTTATATAGCTTGACATTGGTAAGTGCACATAAACAAATGACCCTAAAGTTACACAGTTCATGAGCTGCACTACTTTCTAAACTGAAGCCACGGAATGCAATGCCTACCAATTTAATTATACAGCAAGCTAATTAAAAGTATGAAAAAAGCAACCCAATACTGGTGGGAGGATTCCCAGAGTGAGGTATTTGGAATGGACTTCCAGTTACTGAACTCAAACCATCATCCATTCAATTCCCTTTTGAACTGTCCTGATAACTACTCCAATTAATTCAACTTTCTAATTGGTTAATGTGGTCAGCTACCAAAAAAAATTAACATAATTTGCATACTTAGTTACACACTTTAAATACACTTTCAAGGGATATGAGCTAGAAGAAATAGTTGTAAGTGTTCCTTGAGGTCTGAATAGTGTAGAAAAACAAGTAAATGCCAAGGATTAGGTCCCATTCATTGATGAAACTAGGGAAACCATTTGTAAGAGGTAGAGAAAAGAAAA